CTTTAAACTTTACTTCTTTAATAAATTTTGTGGACCGGAAGTTTCCCATTTCGTTAGTTAGGGTTACAACCCTTTCAAGCTAATATTTTCGAATTAAAAACATTCAGCTCGACGCATTTTTACTAATTGTAATAGAAAACGGCATTATTTGTATACATCAAGATATAACTTTAACCGAATGTTGTTTGGTACAGTAAAGTACCTTAGACAAGGCCAATCAAAGAATTTCAATATTATTTATGTCTGAATAAGAAGAAGACACAATGTCCGATAAAAATTCCAGCGTAAGCACAAGATTGGGCTGTAAATATAAAGTGGAAGCACAAAATACAGGGCAAAATAAAAGACATTCGTCCCTTATTAAGTGCTCCAATAGGACCGTAGGTAGGTATGCCAAGAAGAAATTCCCGGGATAGCGTTGAGTAATTTCGACGTACCGCGGGAGCGTGACCGGAATCCAACCGTTACCAATAAGTAATTACAGTTCGGATTCAATTGCATCTGTACAGTTACACCTTAATACCGCAACGAAAATCTAGAACTTCAATGCAGTCTTGTAAATTTTGACTTCAATATACTTGTAATTAAGTATTATTGAATGCCAGGATGTTACTTCCGTAGTATAATGTCCTACTGGGATTCTCATGTGGGGTAAAACGGCAGACATACAAACCATATTTGCGTTGTAAAAACGAACGATCGTTCTGTGCACAGTTTAGGTTTTCGGGTTTCTCTCAGAGAAAAGTTTAAGGGGACTGGTGTTATGACTGTGGCATCACAGTACATTTACTCAAATATTTTGTATGCGCGTAAACATATGCATAATTTCATTAAGAAAGTCAAAGTCAAAGTCAAAGATTATTTATTCCATAGGTAAAATAAATTTACACTTGAAATCGTCACATTTAAGCTACTGCTCGTTCACTCCGCTGACCTCCCTGAGAAGAACGAGCAAGAAACTCTAGGGATTGCACTTTTCAAATAAACTTAAATGCTATGGAGTACACTTTGAATCAAATTTGTGTGGATTCTGGAGCCGTGTCGTCTTTCCATACATCTTTATCTAACACGTAGTCTTCAATTTTGGAATATGATTTTTCGATCAAAATATTTTTAATGTAGTTTTTAAACTTAGGAAATGATAAACGTAATATATGCTCCGGAATCTTATTGTAAAAACTTATACAGTTCCCCATAAAAGAATTGTTCACCTTGGTTAAACGAAATCGTGGTACCAAAAGTTTGGACTTAGCTCTAAGGTTAATATTATGGATATCTTCCTTCTTATTGAAATTATGTATATTTTTATGGGCATATAAAATATTTGAGTAAATGTACTGTGATGCCACAGTCATGATACCAGTCTCCTTAAACTTTTCTCTGAGAGAAACCCGAGAGCCTAGACGGTACACAGAACGAATCGCTCGTTTTTGCAATACAAATATGGTTTGAATATCTGCCGCTTTACCCCACATGAGAATCCCGTAGGCCATTATACTATGGAAGTAACTAAAGTAAACTAGTCTAGTAAAGAAGATAAATCCATAATATTAACCTGAGAACTAAGTCCAAACTCATGGTACCACGATTTCGTTTAAGTAAGGTAAACGATTCTTTTATGGGGAACTGTATAAGTTTTTATAATAAGATTCCGGAGCACGTATTAAGATTATCATTTCCTAAGTTTAATTGGAAAGTCATATTATAAAAATGAAGATTATATGTTAGGTAAAGTTGTATGGAAAGACAACATGATTCTACATAATTATGATTCAAAGTATATATTCCATAGCATATAAGTTTATTTGAAAGGAGCGATCCCTAGAGTTTCTTGCTCGTTCTTCTCAGGCAGGTCGTGAACGACCGGTAGCTTAAAAAGCGACGTTCTCTAGCGTAAAAATTTTACCTATGGAATAAATGATTATTTGACTTTGACTTTAGACTTTCACCAACATGATATTCTATGTTTTATTTTTTTTGTAAAATTTTTCCTCTAGTTTGTTATAATTATTAAACAAAAATCGAACACTTGGAAACAATTAACTTCGAACAGGCTAGATTCGAACCAACGTCTCCCAGAAAATCGTGGCAGACGCTATGCCAACTAAGCCACGAGCCTCACAAATTTTTCCATGTGCTTGTTGCAGATTTTTGTTTTTGGTTTAGTAGCGACATCTGTGAGAAATCTATGAAAGTTTTTTTCAGCGAGGTACCTTTAGAGCTATCAATATACTTACTTAATATACAAGCAATACATATACCACAGGGTCGAAACCTTACAGGTAAGAAGTACTTCGCTTGCCGTCTTTTCGTCTTCGCCACTTAAGTATGTGAGAGCGCTGCTGGCGTTGGTGGAATTCTGTTGACTGTTTAGTAGGATTGTAATGTAGCCAGGAGAGTAGTAGTAGCCTCCGCAGCCTTTTACTTAGTAAGTTTAAAGTTAAAAGTTGAAAAGATTAAAGAACTAGTGGTAATAAATCCTGTTTTACAAATATATATTCCAGTTTTAACAATATTTATGATCCTTAAAATGTTTATAGTACAAGATTTCTAGTAACTGGTAAACGGCTCAAAAAAATAAGGAAACAAGCTTTCGCTGCCGCGATCGGGCAGGAAGTGACGATGGAACGAAACGAAATCAGAATACGAAACAAAAGAAAATTCTAAATTTAAATTTAAATACGAGGGACCGGAGAAAGGCGACAAAAAGGTGGGATGACGATGTAAGGAGGTCACACCATCACAAGTATTTACAAAATTTAATACTGTATTTAACGTTGCACAGAGGTAAGTAATTTGTCATGTGCGTAAGTGTAAATCTAAAAACATATTTTTGTAGCCTTAGAAATACAAAATTGCAAAGATGATACGAGAACGATAGTCTGCGTAATGCAGGTGACGTCTTTAATATAACATCGTTCCATATTTTTCGCCTACGTCGCGAAACTAGTTAGCGTGACGTATACTAACTACGAGACTCGTCTGTCGTTTATCGACTAAGCTTCGAGTATTATGCGATTGTGTCGGTGATGTTTTTAAGTTATTTTGTTAAGTATTCAAAAGAAGTATACTTACATCAATGTAAAGCCTGTCTCATCATTTAAAGTAAACGCAGCTACATAGAAAATGACATTTATTTTCTAACTTTAAAAATGTTCTGATATTTGTGAGCAATCGAACTCAGGACATCCACAAAAATGTTAATTATTTTTTAGCACGCACACAAAATTTCTTAATCATTTTTATTTTTTCACAATGTCAAGTGACGGAATGAAAACGTCGTGCACCTGATGGCTACACGCCTGTACATAACAGTTGCGCCACTCGGAAC